GATCTCTGTGAGTTCGAGACCAGCCTGGTCTACAAGAGCTAGTTCCAGGACAGGCTCCAAAACCACAGAGAACCCTGTCTCGAAAAACCAAAAAAAAAAAAAAAAAAAAAAACATCCTTACGGAAGACATGGTGGTTAAGACACATTCTTGTTTGGATGATGAGCATAGAAAATCTTTCTGTAAAATACTGAGCCTAGAGGACCCAACACTTACCTACGGTCCAAAATGAGATCGTACACAACTCACTTTTGCCATGAATCTGAGGCCAACCTCCAGCCAAGCCCCGGGGTGCTTTTTCTTAGATACTGGGAGCAAGGCAGGGATCTTTGACTTAAAGACTTTGTATTTTTCTCTCCTTGATGATGAACTACCTGACCAAGTAACTTAAGCGAGGAGAGAGCCATGCTGGATCAGAGCCACAGAGAGTCCATCTCGTCTTAGGTTCAGTGGATTCTGGGCCAGGACTGAGGTTGATCATTTCCGTAGCTACAGCATGTGCTACAGAGAAGGGCTTTGTCACCCCAAGGCTTCAGGAAGTGGAGGAAAAGGAGCAAACCATGAATCGAGTCTTAACCTTCAAAGCCACATCCCTGACGGTCCACTTCCTCTAAATCACCAGTACTGTTTGAAGCAGTGGTTTTCATCTATGGTTCATGACCTCTTTTGGGGGTCGAATGACCCTTTTACAGGGTCGCTTAAGACCATCAGAAAACAGATACTTGCATTACGATTCATAACAATAGCAACATTAGTTATGAAGTAGTAACAAAATAATTTTATGGTTGGGGTCAGCATACACGAGGAACTGTACTAAAAGATTGCAGCATTGGGAAGGTTGAGAAACACTGGCCAAAAATTTCTCCAAAAGGCACCACCAGCTGGAGACTAATCATTTAACACATGAGCCTGTGGGGTGAGGGGGGAACACGTCATCTTCAAACTGTGAGGCTTTTTATGTACTCTCAGAAGTATATTCAGGGGGCTGGTGGGCATGCGCAGACACAAGGACTAATCAGTGGCAGCTCTTTCTCAAGGACTTGAAAGCTCAGAGGGCAGAGGTTGTTTTTCTAGAGCCCAAGTGTCTCTTGAGGATAGGAGCCCAATCTTCAGAATGTGCCTTGGCACCAGGCTGAACTAAGAATCTCGTGGAAGATCTTAAGTCACAAATCTACGGACTTACCCTTTTTTAGGTGGGAAACACAGTTTGATTATTTTGCTGAGAAGGAAAAAAATGGACTTTGTCTTTTTGACATTGTCTTTTTAAATGTTAAAAATCTTAGCTGGGTATCACATAGAAAGAGTTGGTCTGCCCAAAGAGCACCTTGAACTCTCTGCTTATAAAGAATGGTTATACTCAAAACATTTAATATGTAAAAAAAATTATGACATGAAAATTCTTGAGGCAAGGAGAGGCTACGCCAATTATGAGAAATTCATTCCAGATTTCAACAACCTTGTGAGAGGAGCCTTACTTGACGTTCTTAGATGCTCCTGGGGCGGATTAGTTCTTGTTCCCTGGTCCTCGGGGAGATGAATATAAATGGAGTACCATTGCCCTCTGATGCTGCTCCGGAGGCCTGGAGGCATTTGCTAGGCTTTTGTTCAGGTTTCCATTTTTAGGAGCAAATAAGATCAAGGTCATGGGCTCCGTGCTGATCCTGCCTCCTCCATACTTGGCTGTCTGTGGAACTTCACTGACTTCTAGAGAGCTTCGGATGAAAAGTGATTGAGCAACATTCCCATTCTTACTGAGGCAGGCTTTACTTTCTTTTCCAATTCTTTAACCAAAACAATGCACACACACACACAGGCACAGACACACACACACTCATTTTAGGGACATCTCCATAGGTTGAGCACCGCTGCTTTAGAAAATACTGGCTATGTAGAGGAAGTGGACCATCAGGGATGTGGCTTTGAAGGTAAGACTAATTCATGGTTCACTCTTTTTCCTCCATTTCCTGAAGCCTTGAGGTGACAAAGCCCTTTACTGTAGCACATGCTGTAGCCAAAGAAACGATCAACCTCAACCAGAATCCACTGAGCCTAAGACACAGATGGACTCTCTGTGGCTCGGATCCAGCATGGCTCTCTTTTCCTTTAAGTTGCTTGGTCAGGTTAGTTTATCATCAGGGAGAGAAAAATACAAAGTCTTCAAGTTGAAGATCATCCCTGCCTTCCTCCCAGTATCTGAGAGAAAGCACCCCGGGGCTTCCTTTGGAGATGAGTTTGGCCTAGACCTACTGGTTGGTGGAAAAGAAACTTTTCTGCAGAGATGCAGGCCTTCATCATGGTGCAAAGGTCAGGGCAGACGATCCAGATCTGTTCCAGATAGAGTCCAGCCCACGGCAGTCCACCCTGCTGATATACATCACCAGAATACATGCCGTCCTCCCTTTCCCCTTCATTTTTTTTAGAATTTCCCATCAATGCATTCTTCGGTCTTGTTCCTTATTATTATTTATTATTTTGATAATTCTTGCATGCAGAGATTTTAAGATGAAAAGTTTAGCGTTGACTGGTTCAGTTTGGGATGGGTTGGAAGGCAGATGCCGGCCACTTTGAAAATGTCCTGATATGTCGTCGGAGCGGAGAACCCCTGGGGCAGGGGTCAGAAGTGCACCCCACTTTGCTTAGGAAATTGATTTTGTTCACTTCACACATAGACCGCACCTCTGTCTCAGCCTCCCCACCCCAGGAAATGACGTTTCTACTTACACACTTCTCAGATGAAAACTCGAGGCTCAATTTTTCCCCATTGTGCTTCCTTCCTCAGCCAACCCCTCAAGTACTGTGCTCCACCTTCTCTCGTCCTCACCCCTCTGCTGACTTTTCTGTAACTCCCTTGGCCTTTCCTAACCCAGAGCATGTCCAGGCTTTAGCTCATGACTTCCTACCAGGTAGCTGCTAGTCCAATTCTGTATCAGATCCAAAAGGTTCCTGATTTCTAAGAACGGTCTTAATTTTTAAAAGTAAATTTAAACATTTAAAGAACAGTTCATCCATCTTTGTGGGATCTTCACGTCATACTGTATTTGGCTTTGTAGACCTTTTACATAAGTGAGTTAAATAACATTTTTATTACACAGCACTTAGTTAAATATGTCTTCATACAATACAATTTCATTTTCGATGTTCTAAAATATGTTATGTAGTGGAAACATAATAATGTTTAAGACTTCCATGCCTTCAATTTAGGGGAGTAAAAAAATTGAAGATTAAACCTGCTTAGAATTTATAATACTTGGGGAGCTGGGTAGATGAGTCAGTGGTTAAGAGCTCTGGCTGCTCTTCCAGAGGACACGGGTTCAACTCCTTGCACCCACATGGCAGCTAACAGCTGTCTGTAACTCCTTTTCCAGGATCCAATGCCCTCATATACCTGCAGGCACAATGTACATAAACAGAATTTATAATACTTACAAAATTAGATTTGTTATTTATTTTACATGTGTTAGTGTTTTGTCTGAGCATGTGTGTGTGTGTGCGTGGGGAGGGGTTTGCTGGGAACTGAACCCAGGTCCTCTGCAAAAGCAACAAGTACTCTAAATGACTGAGCCCTCTCTCCGGCCCCAAGAATTTGTAATAATGTGATAGACCTTCATGCAGGACTCTACCCCTAAAGAGAACTTCTCTATATTCACTCTTTATAGGGATCCTCCTGGGATCTAGAAGTCAGGGCCGTGAGCGGGAGCTGCTCTCATTCAAAGCCTCTTTAGCATACGCAGTCAGCCATCATGGCGATAGCCGGACGTAGGGACGCACGCTCCAAACATTAAACACTGTCTAAGCCTCTGCAAAGTTTTCCTTATGAATTAACAGTCTTTCCCTTTACCCTTCATTACCAGGACAAACAGAGGAGCCATTTGGTCATATATTGTAGTAATAAAATCAAATCCCCTTAAGAGAAAGGTAAACAAAAGGGAAACCCGTGTCCATTATGTCTAGCGGCACTGCGGCTCTCAGGAGAAGCTGGGAGACGATCCCATTAACTCAAAAGTTCTCAGACACAGCTGCTGTCGGGTTTCGCCTGAAAGGTTAAATTTCTATATTAGGCGAAAAGGTCCGTCTCTCTTGTGGATCTGACCTGGGGTTTCCTCCTTCTCTCTGTTGAATCGCACACAAGACAGAAGCAAAGGGGGCTCAATCAGAGCCTCCACCGCAGGCCAGCAGCGCCGCAATGCCCGTGTCCTAGTGGTTGATACAATTCCTCCTATCCATTTGACTCGAGCGCCTATGTCCTTGGTGCTACACATCCTTCCCAAGGCATCACGGCAGAAAACGATGATGATATCTCGACTCAGTCATGCTAAATTTAATTACTCGTCTAAGATGGAATCTGCCAGATCTCTTCATTACAGAGCATAAATTAGCATTATCATTAGGAAGTACATTAGGGTGGCCTTTGAAGACCATGTGAATGCCTGTTTAATATCCTTCACCTAAGGGTCTTAGCAGTCGTTGATGACCCTTGATCACGACAGTAGTTTTACTGGTAGTTGGCAGAGGATATTACATAACTTATTTATCCTATATCTTTTAGCTGGCATTCTGTGTCTCTCCTCCCTCATTCCTTTTTGGAACTGTTTTTGAAATATTAGAATGGGTGCATAGATTTTTTTCCATAATAATTCTAATTAAAAATAAAGTAATTCTTCCTTAAATATTTCAATATTTTTATGTATTTGCTACATCACTTTCTTGCATAATATTTTATATCCAGGTATCATTATGAAATAACCTATTTTGTTGAGTAGAACACAATGGAGTTCCCCAGAACACTGGCCCCTTTTCCTTTCGTTAGCCTGGCTGCTCACAATGATGGTGATCATCTATCATCTATTTTCCTTTGGTGCTCTAAATACAAAATCAAATCCATTTATTGAGGATAAAAGCTGGGGGCAGGAGGGCCTTTCCCAGTGACATATGGACTCACATTTCCCCTTTGTCCCTCACCTCCTGGCCCTTGCAATGAACGCCTTCTCTGGCTTCTTTTTAGGACCGAAGATTCAATGACGAGATCGACAAGCTCACTGGGTACAAGACAAAATCGCTCCTGTGCATGCCAATCCGGAGCAGCGACGGAGAGATCATTGGTGTGGCCCAAGCAATAAATAAGATTCCTGAGGGTGCTCCGTTTACGGACGATGACGAAAAAGTAAGACTTCACGCCTTGCATGACTGGTCCTTTCTGTTCTGCTCACAGATTGCCGCTCTCCCTGAAAGGACGGGAATTACATGAATAGTCTTCGATTAGCCTATTCACAGATCTGAGAGCTTTTCCTGAGCTGTACGAGATGTAATGGGAGGCTTTTTTAGCATTTCAGAAAATGTAGCATAATTGAAAATAATCGCTCCACTTTTTTTTTCTTTAAAAAAAAAAAAAAAAGCCTGCTTCTCATTACAAGTTCCAGTAGTATTCTCGCTATTGCTTGGTCTTTATTTGCCTTGTAAGTCAGCCTTTAAATTGTGAACAGCACCATGACCATACGTGACCCAAGGGAGGGCAGAGAGTATGGGAAGATCACTGTGCTTCAAAAACTCAGCATGTTCTCTTACCGTTTTTATAACTGTGACGGAGAAGCTCTTTTCTTACTTCTTACATAAAAACCTCAATAAAACGAGGGTCATTTAATTGTTGTTGTAAATCACTAGTAGAGGGAGCATCAGTTTTGGTTCTGAAGAACAAGTGGCTTTGGCAGAAGTCCATACTTTTCCCTCTAGAACTTTAAGTTCCTCTGCTAATGATTTGCTGCAAGCCTTGCCAAGAAGGGTTCTTCAGGGAGCGGAGGCTCTGGCTTTGGGACGTTTACCTTCCTACTGAATAGAAACTGGTGGGAGTCAAAGCAAACTTCCTATCAGTTTGTCATGTTGGATGACTGCTATACTGCTGTTTGATTGGAAACTTCATGATTTTACCTTCGGGATGAGGATCTCCTATTTGCCAGTGCCAGCTGTTAATAGTCCCCGAAGGCAACTGCGGTGGCGCAGAAGGTCAGTGTGAAATGTGATTCAGGGAAAACGGGAAGGGTTTAGATGAACTGAGTCCTTCGCTGAGGTCCTTTCTAAGTGGGATCGAAAGAACGCAGGTCATTGTAAGAGTACAGAAGCTCACAGAACCTCAGGTGACTTCCTGTCAATTCTGCATGGGAAACACACGGGTTGGGATCACAGGAGGTAGGTGGGTAAATCCCACGTGTTTTGTGCCACCCGAGGTAAGAGGCAGCAAGATGTTCTAGAGCGTGCTGGCTGTAGATGAGAGAGGCTCACCAAAGGGCTTTCTCGGAAGAGATGGCATCTCGTCTCTGAGTCAAGAATAGGTTTCAATGGACAGAACTAAGAGAAACAGATAACGTGTTTAGAAGCCAGTTTTCAACAAATGGTGGTGGCTTCAAAGACCCGTGGCTGTCCAACGCCAAGAAAACGTGACGGTGAGGGCTCAGCCCTAAACAAGTTGTACATCACCCCTTCTAAGGCTCAAGGAAGCTTGTGGAAGAGGGGCAGGAAGAAGGTAACAGCAAGAAGACAGGGGAAAGAGCTGTGCTTTAGGCAGGACCCGGCCACTGTAATAATGAACCCACTGCAGCTGTAGTTACTGACACTTGACCTGCACAAGACTGGCCCTGTAAACACGGAGAGAGAAGTGCTCATAACGTGTACCCCTTACTGCTGAACTATTGGCGAGATGGATTCTTAGAGAGGAAAAGCCGTTGCTTTCCGTTGTTATCCACTGGTAAGCCCAGCAGGCTCCAACAGAGAGCTCTAAATCCACAGGGCTACAAACTCTCAGTCCATGGCGACACAAATAACCCCAGCTAAACTCCGTGACTCAGAAAGCAAAACAAATAGACAGAAACACGAGAAAGAGATTTGTAGGGGGAAAATAGATGGGTAGGATGGACAGTAAAGAGAGTAAGGACTGAGAGTAATCAGTATGCATTTATAAAACTGTGTGAAATTGCAAAGGAAAGTAATAATAATTTCTGGGTTGCCCACGGGGGTGGGGAGGGGGGGACAGGGAACAAGGAAAGGCTTGTGAGTAGGATTAGGAGGCTCTGGAGTCAGAATGCCTCCAAGACAGACTCAAGCATTTGCTCCTTAGCTGAAGGAGCTTAGACACCTTGCCAGGTTCTTCTGAGCCTCACAACCTTCCTCACAGGGTTGCTATGAGGAGTGAAACAGATCGTAGACAGTAAGTGTTCGGGGTGACCCTCATCAGTAGACACCCCACAGCTGCCTTGCCATCATTCAGACACATAGTAGTAAATTTATTGCGCAATTAGCATAATGATATTTTTTGTCCCCTTACCTTAAAATTCCATTTTTTTAAGATTTCAAGTTATATATGGCACAATTTTAAAACACTTCAATGTATGAAAAACAGCAAAAACTTCAAGGTACACAAAAAATTAAATATATCCATTTAGAGATATTCATGCACTTAATGTCACAGCAAATAAGAATGTATTTTGTTTCTTGAGAGTGCCATGCCTGTGACTCGGTGGCTGTGTGTGGTTCATGTGATAATTGTTGGGAGAACTTGGAGAGGTCATTGGCTCCTCCTCTGGCGTAGGGATCGTCGCCCGACAGATGGTCATCCAGCCCCGTACTAAAGCTTTCTCTTCAGTGGCTTTAATGATCTCATGCTCTTTAAAACTCTTGGATAATTAGCAAGAATTTAATTTGCAGAGAGTTTTGTGTGAGTCCCAATCTCCCATAAGCATGTATTCATCATTTCAGCTACACACTGGCAAATTACTAGTTTGGCAATTCACGCTGAAGGTTCACATAAAGGCAGGCCATGTAGAAGGGATGACTGGAATTTTCTGGTTCAGTTCATGGGTCCTAAGCAAATGTTTTTGCTTTCCAGGGCTATGCATGAGCTATCTGATTTAGGTGGTAAGATTAGAGTTTTCGTGTCCAATTAACTTATCACTTTGTTCTTCAGAGGGAGTAAAGGGAGACATTATTTTTGCAGACTAACGTTATGAGTCGGATAGAAGCAAACCTTGGTGATCTATTAAGACATTTGTCACCAGCATGGCAGCTAGGATTTGGCCCTGCGTGAAGGCTCTTATCTATCCTTTCAGGCTGTGCACACTTTGGCAGCAAAGGTGTTACGTCTTGTCACGTCAAATAAAACAGAACGTGTCTGGTACAGTCGCTTTCCAATGGCAGATGTGTAACAGTCGTAGCCTGAAGTTCTACTTTGGTTGTTGATATGGGGTTCTTAGCTTGTGGTTACCTCCTCTCAGCTCATAAATCAGAGCATCAGCTAGCCTGATATGTTCATCCTTTGGACCTAAGATGCTGCCAACACAGCTCAGCTGCTGGAGACTGGCCACGTTCCAGAACTTGTTACTGGTAGTGCTACCCTGCCAGCTGGCATTGAGGGGGGTGCCCGGAGGGCTCTAACGAGTCTCTGTAGAAGCTTGAGTTTGCTATGAGATATAAGCATGAGATTCACAGACAGATAATGGGGAGGAGTTCATAAAACCTTGACCTTACACCTCAAAACTCCATGAGGATGATATTTAGCAACTACGCATTGTCTAAGGTACAAGAAATATCAGGATCATTGTGTTGACGAGGGGAATGTTGAGTTCGTTATACCAAAAGGATGACAGGTTGGTGGTCTCAGAAAGACAGACACAATTCATGCAGGCTACTAACACAGAAGTTGGCTAGCATATGATTGGTTTCTTTTCATTTTGATATCTTTAGACATGGTTGCAAGATGCAATTCTACCATTACAGTCAACTCCCAAACAACTAGCCACTTTCATAAGGCAACTCACTGAAACAAAGATAGATGGATTTCTTCTTCATCTTCTGAGTAGTTTCTGCAAAAGATGCGATGTAAAAGGCCTTTTCTAATAGTTTTGTAAACCATTGATCTTCAGCAGTGGTGGCTGTGACCTTTAACACAGTTCCTCATATTGTGGTGATTCCCAACTAAAAAAATGATTTTTGTTGCTTCCTCATAGCTGTAACTTTGCTACTGTTATGAATTGTAATGTAAATATCCGTATTTTCCAATGGTCTTAGATGACCCCCATGGAAGGGTCATTCGACCCCCAAAGTTAGGACCCACAGGTTGAGAACTGCTGATCTACAGGGACACACTGTAACACTTCCACCAGGAGAATTAACTGGTTTTTTTTTGCTAATATTTCATTGCTTTCAAGATGCTGAAATATTAAAGAAGCGGTGCATCAACTGATTGCAAGAAATGCCCTCTGCATACTCATCCTTTATTTTCACGTTTTTGCTGCATGCCAGCTAAGCTTTCTGAACATGTTGCTATAAAATTATGATTAAATATTAGTGTTCAGCAAAAGAGCCCAAACGTCCTGGCAGATGGCTTGTGGTTTCAAGTTGTATTTGATCAATAAGATCTTAGCCCAGGGAAAAATTTGGATCAAATCCCATAACTTGTTACTATTTTATCTCCATTTAAACCATGATTTAGTCAAGCATTTCAACGGTGATTGCCCAGGGTCCAGATAGTCATGGTCAGAGCATGAGTGGCCGATTCATCCGCGGCCTATGCCTTCAGTGGACGGCATCTGACCAAGAGTTTCAAAATAAACCAAGATTTGCAAGGAAGTTATTTACAAACACATTCCTGTCAGCACTCAGGATGAACTTTGGTTCTCTCTTCCTGCTGGAGAAATACTGGTGTAGTCTCCTGCCTCTGCCTTAGGCAGAGTCCACCTCTGGGTAAGAAAGCAAGCGTGTGCCTGCCAGACTGACACCCAGTGAAGACCGTAATACTCTGCCATTTTGTTACAGTGCCTTGGGTCCCCGAGGCCACACCTTGGCGTATCCTCCCTGTGGACTACAGGGTACCCCGTTTCTCCACTTGTCTTTCATATCCTCCCCAAGTCAAATCCATCATTGGACCTCTAGACAAAAGCATTCTGGTTTGTCGTTCGTCATGGTCCTTAATACCTTACATTTTAGCTGCCCCCCCCCCTCAGGTATCCCCAAATGATTGCAGTTGAATGTTGACTAACGATTTGTTAAAAAATAGAAATGATCAGCTAGTCAAAAAATTTTAAAAATCAATATTACAGTTCGACAAAATGGATGTGTCTGCAGGGTGTAGGCTTAAGATCTAGGTCGACTGACAGACTTGGGGAGAATATATTGCCT